AGGGTGTTTAAGGTTCAAGAACACTAGTGTGTGTTCTTGGTGTTCTTGGTGAAATGAAGAACACTTGAAGATCTAACCAAAAGAAGAGATTTCATGGATGAAATCATGTATATTCACTAGATATGGAAGGATATCAAGTTGAAAATGGAAAGATTACTTACTAGATTGAAGATTGGAATGAAAGTTCTTGATGATACTTGAGAGTAAAACCGAGTTCTAGGCTTGAAAGTGTGATAATGAATGAAAATGGCCAAGTATTTCATGTATAGGCATGGATTTTACGGCCACCATGAGTTTATGGTCGTAAACCCATGGTCTCATGGCCGTAAACTCCTCATTTGAGGGTTTAAGGCATGTTTGGTGGTTTGGAACTTTAGTTGACCCATTCTAGTATTTGATCCTTTGATGTACTAAGCTCAGTAAGCTCAAACAGATTCTATACAGTGCTAAACGTTAGCAGAAACAAGTCTGACTTTGACTGAAGTGAATGGCTTGTACAAGATAGAAATTTCGGGTTGTCACAGATGGGTCAACCATTATCCCTTCTTGGTTAACCACATGACCCAAAAATTGGACTTCTTGAATCCAAAAATCACATTTGGAGAACTTTGCATACAGCTTCTCCTTTTTCAAAACTTCTAACACTTGTCGCAGATGCTTTTCATGCTCCTGCTTGCTTTTTGAATAAATTAAAATATCATCTATGAACACTATCACGGATTTATCAAGGAATGGTTTACAAACCCTGTTCATCAAATCCATGAATGTTGTTGGAGCATTGGTTAGTCCAAACGACATAAACAAGAACTCATAGTGTCCATATCTTGTTCTGAATGCAGTCTTCTCAATATCCTGCTCTCTCACCTTTTAGCTGATGATATCCTGACCTAAGATCGATCTTCGAGAAATAGCTCGAACCTTGCAGCTGATCGAACAGGTCATCAATCCTTGGAAACGGGTAATTATTCTTTATTGTTGCCTTGTTCAGCTCTCTGTAATCTATGCACATTCTCATGCTCCCATCTTTCTTCTTTACGAATAACACCGGAGCTCCCCAGGGTGATGAACTAGGTCTAATGAAACCATTGTCCAACAACTCATGAAGTTGCATCATAAGCTCCTTCATCTCCGTTGGTGCTAACCGGTATGGTGCTTTTGCTATCGGTGTTGTTCCTGGTAACAAGTCTATTCTAAACTCTACTTGTCTATCAGGGGGCAATCCAGGAAGATTTTCGGGAAAAACTTCCGGATAGTCACACACCACTGGTATACTTTGCATATCCTTTTTCTCCTTCTTAGCATCGATTACGAATGTCAAGTATGAGGTGCATCCTTTAGATAAACATTTTATGGCTTTCATTAGGGAAATGATTCCAGAATTTACTCTGCGCTTATCTCCGTATACCATAAATGACTCTTTTCCAGGTGGGTTTACCCTCACTATCTTTTTCTTGCACAGTATCTCGGCATCATTGGCGCTAAGCCAATCCATTCCTAGAACGATGTCGAAACCGTTCAACTCAATGGGTAACAACTTCTCGTGGAATTCGTTTCCGTTCAAGTCAATGACAATATTTTTAATGCAATCGCTAACAGGTATGAATTTGCCACTAGCAACTTCTACAACTAGGGCATTATCAAGTTTTTCTATAGGCAATGCTAGTCTTTCACCAAATTTATGTGATATAAAGGAGTAATTCACTCCAGAATCAAACAATAAATTAACAGACAATCCATTTACAAGAAAGGTACCTGAAGCGACATCCGCTGCATCCTTTGCGGCTTCCAATGTCATCTGGAAAGCTCTGGCTTTTGGCTTTGGTGGGAGATTGGGCCTTGTTGCATCCTTCTTCTTCGGGCAGTCCTTCAAAATATGCCCCTCTTCATTGCACCCATAACAAACTTTCTTATTGAAGGTACATTAATTGGCATAATGACCAGGCTTTCCACATTTATAACAAGTGACATCCTCACCACATTTCTCAACATGTTTCTTCTTACACTTGTCACACCACTTCGCTTCGGCTCCTCCTCCGAATTTCCTCGAACCAGACTTCGAGAACTTTCTCTTCTTGTTGGATCTTGAAGATCCATCGAACTTTCTTTTCTCACCAACCTCTGCCCTCTCTTGACCCCTTTCCTTTAACTGGGTCTCCACATTTTTAGCTGCTCGGACTGCTGTCTTCAGAGTAGTTGTCATCTTGACCGTTGGGCCAAAGTCGACTGGCAGTCCGTTTGCGAACCTCTCAACTTTTGAGAGTTCAGTTGGCACTAGGTATGGAAATAACTTCATCTTTTCGGTAAACGCAGTAGCATAGTCGTTAATGCTCATTTTCCCTTTCATACGCAAACTAAGGCGGGAAATTTCCTTTTCAAGGGTTCAGTTCTCACTTCGGTTCCAGCTCCAATAAAATAGGAAGGGACAGTTTCTTCTTGAAGACAACCCCTTTTGTGGCTTATGGCAGGGTGCCTTTCTTGGTCAAAAAGACGGACTTTCCTTTTTTTTTTTGTTATGTCTTGTTTTTATTTTTCCGATGTAACTTTTATTTGACCATTGTATGTCTTAGGATTTAAATAGCCATTAGTCTTCCAGTTGTAAAACATAGACGAATTTTTATGAAAAAAAATTGAGCTTTGTTCATGAGTTGTTGCGACACTCGAAACCCATCAATTGAGGGATGCTTTCGTAATCTTGATAGAATTCAAGTTAATATGTCATAACTTTTTTTCACCGATATTCAATCTATAGGTCTAGATTGTATATCAAATATATCCTTTGTTTATTGTTGTTTTTGTTCTCGTTCTTGCTCCTAATCTACCCGTTTCTCTATCTTCTTTGTGAATCTTGTTCATCTTGTTATTGTTTCCGTTAGATAAAACCAAAGAAAACCTAGAAACAGATCCAAGCCTCAAACACGCATCAATATATATATATATATATATATATATATATATATATATATATATATATATATAATAAATCTTTGACCAAGTCAACTTTAAGATTGAGTTTGGTAGATAATATTAACTGTATACATAGATAGGAGAGAAATTAATATTTTGTGATGGTTGTAGATAAGTATAATTTTTTAAGGTGACAGTTGAAAAGTGTGAATAACGTGGAGGTGATGAGTGTAATATAAAATAATAATTAGGTGGCATTAGCAAGACTTTTTTGTTTTGCCTCCCACATGATCATGAAGATGAAATATGTTCAATCGCTTTAACTAAAAACGTGTTTCTTTATTTTTGGTGGTGACACATTTATTTTGGCCTTTCACATGACACATTTTCTTTTGTATAGGTTTTGATGGTGACATGTTTGTCCTTTTTCACCCTATCCTTATCTTCTTAAATAAAAATTTATTTTCATGAAAACGTTGTATTAGTGATTGAGTATGCATATTACATTTTGATAATGATGGGGAAAAAATATATAAAACTAAATTAAAAAATTAACCATGGATGCTTTGTTTTATTTGGCAAGGACATTTGTTTGTTACAACTAAATTAAATTTCGAATAAGAAATGTTTCGCGTATTCTAAGATCAAAACATATAATGTTTTATCTATTAATCGGGTAAAATGTTTCATCTATTAATTGTTGTTTAATATATTCGTGTTAATTATATAGTTTATGAAAAACTAAAGCATAAATTGATTAAATATGAAAACTTATTACATAGATAAATAAGTTGAACTATTTCAGTAATATATATACTAATCATAAGATTGAAGTATCATTATATATTGGGAATTTCTATACGTAGCCCAAAGCGTTTAATGTACCTTTGTGAGTGAAGTAGTGCTATATATATTTCATATAAAAGAATTCATTATATTACATTAAAGGGTAATACTGAATTACATAGACACAGCTCTTCAAACCTAACATATATCCATGTTTATTTGCTTGAATCGGTCATTTCATTTATAAAAACCAAGCAATTGATATCTTCTATAATAATATTTCTTTTTAAATGTTGAACAAATTTTGGGAACAATGATAACCAATAAGGTGAGTCATGGTAACATGCTTTAAAAAAAAAAAAAAAAAAAAAAAAAAAAAAAAAAAAAAACCTTATTCATTTCTCTACTTGAAACAAGATACCAATATGTTGCTACAATTTACATCAAGTTTCATTGTTTTTTATATGAACATCATCATAAGTACAACAATGATTCACAAAAGGGAGACCATACTCAACCATACAAACCAGGAAAGAAGAAAACATATTATACCTCAGCATGATAAAAATTACAAATTTTTATTCAATTCAAAAGAGGTTGAACAATGACTCGCTCACATCTAATATGCAAAAGAATCCCTCAAATAAATCCAAAACCCTAAAAAACTTGTTCAATATTAATCAATTCAAATATACCATAAAGCTTTTCAATCTCAAAAGTACGTTTGACAAAATTATTTGATAACTAAAAGTTATAATTTTATTTGTAGAAAGGTGTTTGCCAGAAATAGCTGTAAACTTTATGAATATATAAAAAATATATGAATAAAAGCTCAAATTTGAAATATAAAAATACTAAAAACTCATAATAACTATAAAAAAAAAAACTTTCAAAAACTATTTAAAATAGCTTTTGAATTTAAGTTTTTTTATTTTTTTTGTAAATTCCAAAAAAAAATTATAAACTACAAACACGCCTTAAATCTATCAAGAAAGCGAATTGGAAACTAGAAAAAATAACTAGAGCTAGTAATACAAGGGTTAAGAATCTCTGATTTTCATATAGACAAGAGGCAAATTAACCCTCTTTAACTTATATACAACCAACATGAAATATCAAAGATCAAAGATCAAAGATGTACCCCGAAAAAAGAATACGAGTATACTAACAAATACTTGGAAGAATAAGAATGTTAAATAATACTAAACAACACAAGTTGAAGCAACAATCAAAATCCTGATTCGTGGGTATCATCAGAAAATTACCCATATCAGGAATCATCAGAAAATTACCCATCAGGAATCATCAACTTACCTCGGATCCGATACTCTGTTAGTCAACGCTAATCGGAGCTGCTCCTGAGTGTAAAATCGAGTACCCATTTTAACTGTCGCTTGTTGCATCATCAAATCGTTGACCACCGATACACTCGCATGGTGGACGTCAAGATCGAGGTCCTTCAACGCCGACATTAGACGGGCGGCAGGGTGGTTTTTCTTGCTACATTGAATCCTAATCATGGCGTCCCAGCCGATGATTTTGATATCTATGTCTATATCTGTGATTTTTGGGTGGTTTGGGTTAGGGGTGGGTGTTAATTTGAAGTCTTCCGGTGGTGAGACGGTGGAAGAAGATGATTGATGGGAGTCTTTGGTTAATAATATCTCTTTTTTCATGGCGTCAAGCTGGGTTTTCAGTTCTTCTTTATCGGTTTCTGTGTTTTGAAGCTTTGATTTGAGGTCGTTGATGTAAGAAATGGCGTCGCCGAGGAGAGACGCTTTGTCCATTTTGGAAACGTTGGGGACGACGGCTCGAAGGGCGTAGAATTTTTGGTTTAGCTTTTCTCTTCTTTGTCTCTCGGCTTCCACGTGATTCAATGGCTCTTCCCGGCCGTTTGCCGGTTTTCTACCGCGTTTTTTTGGTCGTTTCTCCGGCTCCATCACTAGTCGGCTCTCCGCCTCTCTTCCGATTGATGGATCTAGCTCTGCTCCACCGGATTTTACAGTCTCCGATGGTGGAATAACCGTGCCGGAGGTGAACGAGAGCATACCTTCGTGGGGTTTCTTCTTTTTGTTGCTGTTATCTTCGCCTCCGGCGAACGTCTTCTTGCTTTCACCAAAATTCAGGAGTTCGACAGATTCAGGCTTACAAGAATGAGAAGTATTCCCGTTTCTGCTTCCATCGTAAGATCCGAATTCTGAGAAATTTAATTCTCTGCTCCCGAACAATCCTTGATTTTGGATGGATTCACGATTGGGATTGTGAATCACAGAGCTAGGGTTTTCAGTTAACGAGCTGCAGCTAGGGTTGTCGATGGAGATTTGCTTTGAGACTGAGCTATTTGATGGGATTACAGTCGTCGGAGGGGCTACTGCGGTGATACCAACAGAATCTTTCATTTCTACGGTGGTGGTGGTGGCAGCGGCAGAAGAAGATACTGGATCGGTTAGCCACAACGACGATGGATCAGTAGTATCACCTCCGGGTGTCTGATTCGGGTTCATTGGCGTCAAATCTGGAGGGCTATAACTGAAATTAAATAGCACTCTGGCCTCATTCATGAGATCTGAACTTTGAAAAATCAACTCCGTTGAACCTAATTCAAGAACTCCGTTTGTAGACGGAATACAGACGATCGTCTGCAATCCGAAACCCTCACCTTGCCGTGCACGCTCGCACTGCGACGCCAATAACCGCTCCCGGCCGGCAATCCAAATAGGTTGATTACTGAACATCGCCTGACCGGGCAATCCACTACCGTTGACGAACGACTGCGTCATCGAGATGAGAAAAAACCACTCCGTATCAGTAACTTCCTCATCCACGGCTTCGTTCTCCGGCATCTGTGTGCCAGATATCAATGAATTCAGCTCCCGGAGCACCTTCTTCCGGTGCTCCTGCTCCGCCAAAGAACTAACCGACGTCGTCGTTTTTTGCTTGTTGATCTCCCCCTTGTAATACCCGTCGCCCCACCCTAAAAACGAGGGGCTCGTGTAATCCACGGCGGACGATTGCCAGAAGATCCCATAAGTCCACGAATCACGAGCGTTATCAATCAACCCCTGAAGACGTTGCTGTAAAGAATCCTGATTAAAAGGCTGTGACTCGCCGGCGATCTTATGAAGATCATTTGTAGAAGTGGACGCAGAGGACGATGCCGGAGGAACCGCAGACGGCGCTGCCGTAGTAGTAGGATTACCCCAAAAGGAAGACATATCAGAGCTGATGAACGCATCCATCATGGCGTTATCATCTGCGTTCCATAAATTCATCGCCGTCGGAAGACGGAAATCCGTCATCCCACAGACAGATTTAAAATAAAATCTAACAAATTAGAAAGAGGTCAACTGATTTGGATCAAAAGATGGGGATGATTAGGTTTAAATGGACACGTGGTGGTGACTGCGGCGGCGGAGCAGCCACAAGTGGAGAGAGAGAGAGAGAGAGAGAGAGCGGCGTAGGAGGCCGAAATGCAAAAGAGGTGATTCGCCGATATAATCGCAGAATTAATTTTTACCATGACCGGCGATTACTAAATTTATTTTTGATATTTTACATATTTGTCCCCTTAGGATCCGATCCGATTTGAAATTTGGATTAGGTCGAAACCGGGTTTTGACCAACCATATCGGATTAATGCAATCCACCGGATTGTAACTGAATTCATAGCATTCATATCTTGGGGATCAAATCAGATCCTTAATCGGATTTGCCAAATTCATCTTCAAATCCATCGTAAAAGTGTACATCTATTTTCGGTGTGTGCATCCAATGTACAAGTGTACATCTATTTCCTTATCCGTTAATCATTATAATTATTGACGCTCACGATTGGTTAATTGGTTTCTTGTTAATTTATGGTTCTCTATTGAACTTCACCCTATATATATATATATATATATATATATATATATATATATATATATATATGGTTAGGTTCATATGAGACAATAGTATTTGTGAGGCAATGAGACCAAATCTTGACCATTCATATTGAATAATCTAATACTAGAATTAAATCAGATTACACCACAAGAAAGCACAAGGAGGCGGTGACATTTTTGCAATTAAATGGAACTTCATGATTAGAATAAGGGCGTGGAGGGGCAGTAAGGGGATTTTACTGTCTATTTCATTCGGGTCGCAAAAAACACTCGGTATTCTTCTAAATCTTCTTCATTCTGATTCATAAAACCCTAATCTTGATACGAACAATAAAACATGTTTGATTCAATCTCGATCATCAACATCTTTTGTTTCCTTCAGATTTAGATTTGAACGCTCTGATTTTATCAACCTTTCATTCTGATTTTGATTCTAAAATCGTTCGACCATCCATTGATCCTGAATCAAAAGAAACCTAAATTTCTTATTCCAACAACTGGATACAGAATCAGATTCAGATTAATTCATTCCAGGTAACGTATAATAGTATAATTTATTTGCATCATGATTCAAACCTTTCTTCGTTTTTCTCACGTACAAAACCCTCCGCCTTGATGAACACTAAAAATCCTTTTTTTTTCCTGATCTACAGTTCGATTGAAGAACTGTTAAATCGAGATTAGGTTTTTCTTTCAACCATCAGATTCCTCCCATGCTTAAACATTGTGATTACTTCCATTCTGATTACAGGAGAGATTTGCGATTGAAGAACCCTAAAAATCCTCTTATTCACTCTGATTCATATTTTCAACTTTGTGATTCTGATTATATTCCATAATCAAGCTTTCAATCACCTAGCATTACAGAATCAAAGAAATCGGATCAAGATCTCAAGAATACATGGTTCAACATAATCAGATTCAGGTTCTAATTCTCATATAAAATCTCTTTTTTTTACTTCACTTCATATCTACTCCAAATAACTATTTTTTGTGTCAAAAAAGTCAAAGAAAAAGTGAATAAACAATGATATATCTTTTTATATAGCTTTCTTCAAATTTTGAAATTTGAATGTCTAATATTCTACCGATTCTATGAATTTGTAATGAGAATGCATAATATTCTACATATTTTAGTATCATATTCTACATATCTGCCCCAGTTAAACACCTTGTAATTCTACATAAACCTTGCACTTCCATGAAGTACAATATGTCAGATATTTTAAAATATGAATATGTGATATTCTAATTATTTTATAAATTGTAATGTGGAACGTATAGTATTCTACATATGTTAATATAATATTCTGTATATTTTATGTGGTATGTGCATATTCTGCATATGTTAGTATAATATTCTATATATTCTGAATATGTATTCTTGTTCTTTAACTATTAATCACAATTTGTCATGTACATCACAATCCTTTGCTAAATAGGTTGCGAACTGATGATTAATTTCTAAAATCTTCATTGAACTGAATGTGTGATATCATATTCTACATATTTGCACCAGTTAAAGACCTTGCACTTCTATATAAACCTTGAACTTCCACGCAATACAGAATCCTATATATTTCAAAATATGAATTGTTATTACGTGATAGTTTGATAAGTCATATGGTACTTCTTAATTTGATCCATATGTTACTTTGTTTGATTATTTTGATGATCGATTAAAAATATTAGTAAAATAGTGTTAGGTAACTTAATATTCTAGGTATTCTGATTTGTTAAGTTAGGTGCTACTTCATAATTTGGTTTCCGGTGTTATTTTATTGATTAATCAGATGTTACTGTTTACTTTGATAAATCAGAACTAATTCATACACCAATGACTTTATTGTGTAAAGTTAATGTCTATATGTAGCATATTCTAACATTCTATATTTTCTTTTATCATAACTTGATGTATTATTCAAAGAACTTGATGTATTATTCAAAGAACAGTTCTTTATACTTTATTAAGAGAATGTATGATATTTATTATTATTAAAAATGAAGTATATGGTTAGTAATGTTAATATTATAATATTCTAGATTTTATTTTATCATAACTTAATGTATAATTCAAAGAAAAGCTCTTCATATTTTATTTGGAGAGTCTATGATGTTGATTATTATTAGAATGTAGTTTACGCTTTATAATAGCAATACTCTAGTTTTTGTCAAGTATTTAATAGACAAATTCACGTATTTTCTGGTTTATGGTATTTAGTGTCAATATTCTAGTATTTTGTTCTAATAGAAGCATGATATATGTTTTGATGCAGATCAAATGACAAGAATGACTAAATCAAGGGAAAAATATGTTGTTGATACTAAAACTAAGAAAACGATGATAGTTCAATTGATAGGTCTTTATCAGAACGCGAAATAAAGGACAAGGTATAACATTAAACATATTAACGTATATGGATATTTGATATAAATACTCTAAGTTAACATATTATTAAGTGTTATATTCTTCTTTTCACGATGTTAATTATCCTTAGAATGTACATATTTTTATATTTGATTTTTATTAGGTTATGAAAATAATGCATTTGTTTTAGTTTTTTTGTTTTAATAAAGTTATGATATATGTTTTGATGCATTTGGAAATCTTGATTAAGAAACTTGGTATAAGATGAAGCGAAGAGATTGATGGAAAAAGAAAGCATAAAGTATCTAAAAATAGAATTGATGGAAGTTTGGAGATGTGTGGTGGTGAATGAAATTCTTAGAATGTTACAAAACGCTTGATTTTTGTTATTACTTGACTGTAGTTTGTATATTCTGGGTATTTTGTTCTGGTAAATATTTGTTTACATTGATTCTACTTTTCATGATGCAGCCAAATTGAATGATCACCTAAACTAATTGAAGAAGCTAAGGAGTTTGCAAAATCTGACCGACTAAAGCATCTTAACTTGGTGCGGGAAGCGATGCAGTGAAATGAAGATTATTGATCTAATTGATACAATATTTGTAGGAATTTAATGGTAAATGAATTTGGAGTCTTTTTCTCTTTGAATATTGGCTATATTTTCTATATTATGAATAACATGTATGGTTGAATTGTTGGTAAACAATAGTTATGGTTTGAAGGTTCGAAGATTGGTGAATATTTAATAAAACAATATTGTAGTTGAAACAATAGTTATGTTTTAAATGATAATACATGTAGTCTTTTACATATTAAACGAGTTTAAAAGTAAAGTCTCTATGTAAAATATTCTATCCGAATAATATTGTATGTTTTATGTTATAATAAGTATATTTATAATATTCTAATAGAATAGTTTTATGCATTGTTCGTTATCGTCAATTGATGTTTATGTCTTTTTTAGAATTAATAATTTATGTCGTGTAATGGTAGTAATATCTTTCACATATTAGATGGGTTTAAAATTAAATTCTCTATGTAAAATATTCTATCAGAATAATATTGTATGTTTTATGTAATAATAAGTATATGTATAATATTCTAATAGAATAATTTTATGTGTTGTTTGTTATCGTCAATTAATGTTTATGTTTTTTTTAGAATTTAAGTCATTATTCAAGGTAAATTTTATAAGTAGAGTGTATGATGTTTAAAATCATTAGAATGTTGTAGTTTATGATGTATGATGTTTATAATCTAATAAAATAAAGTTCTAGGTTTTTTGTTAAATAAGTTCATTTATTTACATGAAAATAATATGTATACGTAGAATATTCTAATACAATTATGTTATATGTTATCAGTTTTCATAAATTTAATATATATATATATATATATATAATAGAAATGTTATAGGTTTCCCTTTGAATAAGTTGATTTATTACATGAAAGTAGTATATATGTGTATAATATTCTAATCGAATAATATTATATGTAGTATGTTTTTATAATCTATATGTAGAATATGTTAATACAATAATATTCTATGACATTGTAAGTTATATGCAAAATATTCTAATACAATACTGCCTAATTAAATTTTGGCTTTTTTAATACTCAATGATATGATATCAATCTAGCTATTCAAAATATTCAATATTTTTATAATGTGTTGCTAATATGTAATATTATAAAATTATATGTAATATTATGAAATTTAAACGTAGTATTCTAAAATTATGTTGTATGGAATATTTTGATATTAAAGTGTAATATTCTAAATTGTGTTATAACATATAAAATGAACGCATATTACATAAGATTCTAATATTATACGTAATATTCTGAATTTACATTACATTCTAACAGAATAATTTAATTAGGTTGTCTATATTCAAGTTAGAATTCTTACAGAATAATGTTATAGGTTGCCTGTATCTGTAGAACATTCTAAATAGAATGTAACACTAAATGATTATATGAACATCAAATATCGAACTAGAATATAACAATACATATGTAAGAAATTAAAATAATGCACAAT